TGACGTTTGAACAGAAATCGTGCAATAGCATTTGAGTCTCTGTGCTGGCTGGCAGGTAGTCACACTCCAGGAAACCAAGCAAACCAAGTGACCTCCTAGGGCGGTTGCATTTCTAAACCAAAAGGTGTGTGTCTGCACAACCCACCACCCACCCCCCGCAGGTACCTGAGGGCCCAGGGAGGGGACTGGCTTGCCTGGAGGAGAGAATGCACACAGTGGAATAGCAGCCATAAGGCTGGTGGGAAAGGGACACCCATATTGTGAACAGCAAGCCCAGCATAGAAAGGACAAGCAGAGGAAAGAGCAACAGGTATTCACTTAGCACAGCATGAGGCGCTTTACAGACATTATCTCACTTATTACCAAGACCACCTTATGAGGGGTGTTCACCCCAGCATTTGGACAAGAGCTACATGGGGCTCTTGGAAGCCTCCTGGGAAGGGGCCCATCCTACAGGAAGAATGACGATCCCCAAGTTATTTCAAGGGCAGTGGGACTTGGGTTAAAATATAAAAGTCTTTTCATGCTCCGCAGAGTATGTTTCACTTATATTATCTCCATGTCCAAGCCCTCGTGACCTATGGTGCACAAAACTTAAAAGGCTACTTTCCTATCTTTTTTGTCCTAGGAGACAAAAAAAAGCATAAGTGGCAGCATCACTGGTGTCACTGCTGTGGGGTGGGTGGAGGTCTGGCCATGAAGCAGTGGTACTTTCAGGGTTTTAAACATTGGGGTCTGGTGCCTAAGCCCTCAGAGGTACTGGCCGGCAGCTGCCACTCTGGTCACTGGCTCTGGTCAGTGTGCCAGAGCTGGGACTAGAACATACTGATAAATGCAAACAGTGAGTACTAGCACATGGTTAACAACTAGAACTGGGGTGGGAGGTGGGGGACCAAGGGAGAAGAGGTGACCTAATCTGTAGCATATGCCGATTTCTGTGGTGTAAATACTCCCACCATGGCTGAGTTCAAGCTACTAAAAGACATCACCGAATGCAGAGATGGCAAGAGACGCCTGTGCTGCTATAGTACTCCCACCATCGATACGTAACCTCAAGAACATAGATGATAATAAAGTAATTAGGACCTGATAAGTTTTAACTATATGTTACCTTGGTTTTTAATCATTTATTTAGTGGTAAGCTTACACAATCTGTTTTTAATAATGGCTGTGTTTAACAACTATTTAGCAAAATCCCTAAAAAAATTGAACAATTAGCTCTCACAACCCTGAAGGAGCCAGCTCTAGCACACCACTAGCTGAAAAGGAAGAAAATGTGGGCATCACGTGGTGTCCTGGAGGTCAAGTTCATGGAACAGAAAGATACCCTTGGGGCATCTAGAGCTATTTGGGCAGAATTTAACAGGAGCAGAAAGGATCATAGAGAGGGTGGGGCCAAAGCCAGGCATATACGATTTTGTGGCTGTGTTGATCCTGTTTCTATTACCAGCATCAATTGAAATTCAATCTAAAGTGTCACTACAAAGGTCTCTCTCTGTACAAATGCAGCTTTGCAACATACTCACATCACACGCAGAGCTCCTGGCAACAAAGAAACCCTGCTCCCTGCTTCTAATCAGCATGAACCTAAGACATGTACCCACCTTTCCCTAGGAATGCCAGGAGCTGTGTCCTGAGAAACCACCCCTCTGCTCAGCCCCTTCTCCCGTCTGCCTGGAATAAGCCACGTCACAGGGCACCTTCCAGGGCACCTCCTCAAACACCCACTGCGGTTTCAGCCTTCTGCTTAAGCCTTGGGGGCAGAGGCAGCCCTGAGACGTCCAGCTTGAATGGGCAGCCCTGAGGTCTAGATTGTCTTTGCCTGAACATGTTTTGCCACAGAGCGGCCCAAGTCCAAAAAAAAGAAAGGGCTCTGAAATGGATCTGTGCAATGACACAGCATGAGCACAATTAACTGTTGTCAAAGCACTTTGCTGGCTGCATTCATCTCTTATGTAGGAGAACAAAACTGTCATCACGGTGACAACTTTATTCAACATTGGTGCAATTACCCGGCCTAAAAATAGGAAGCAAAGGGAGATTTTCTTGAGTGGGCTGAGCTCCGTTATCCGTTTTGCATGTCTGGGACAGTCTGCCCCCAGGATCCAGGGAGGAAAGGAAGGAAACTAAGACTCACCGAATGCTGTCACGTGTTACTATGAGAGGCTTTATGCTATATAATCCTCCCTTTAACTTTGTGCATGGAGGGGGAGTGGAGTGGAGCACCGAAGACCAAGATTTGTTGAGCAGCCATGATGAGACAGGCTCTCTGTCCATAATTTAATTATCACAACCACACTCAAAACCTGGTATTATTGGCCCCATTTCAGAGATGGAAAAGCTGAGTCTCAGAAAGGTTCAGAAGCTTGCACAAAATTCCGTAGCTCAAACCCTTCCAATTACAGACTCGTTGTCGTGGAGTTTCCTGCCATGAAGCACATGCCTGGGCAGAGACCCACTGGGGGACAGCCCCTCCCCAGTTGCTCCTTCACCCCCTGTGCAGTCTTACCCTTTCAGGAATGCACAAATGGTCAAGGCCTTGGAATCCAGAAGACTTGGGTTCGAGTCTAGACTCCATGACTTGCTAGTAACTGTGGCCTTGGCTCATTTGTTTAACCTCTGTAAGTTCTAGGGTTTCGACTATAAATTGGGGACAGTCATAGTTCCTACTTCATAAGGTTGCTACGGGGGTTAAATGAGAGCGTGCATGTCAAGTGCTTTGCACAGTGCCTACACATGGCAAATATTGGGCAGCAGTTATCATTATTGGCTAATGAACATGGCATTGAAAGAGGTCCCAGGTCCTGACCTCCCCTCAGGATTCTATAGATGGAACAAGGCGTTAGGAGGGCAACTGGGCCCAGGGATCGTCACTCCTTTCCCCCCAAAGCCTGGTGACTTCTTTCCCTTCCGAGGACCTTGTCTTGGGTGGGCACAGGGCACAGTAAAGATGGCGAGGAAGACTCACCCTCTACAAAGAGTTAGGTAGTGCCTACCACATGCGGGGCCCTCGTCTAAGGTTTTGCAAATATGAACTCACTTAACCTTTCTAACAAGTCAGTGCAGTGGGTGCCATTATTCACAGCACTTAGCAAAGTGAAAAGTAAGCTGAAGTGACTCACCCTGGGTCCTGCGCTGACTCTTGGGCACAGCCACAGCAGACCCACGGCTCTGCCTCCCTAAGGGAATGGGGACTAGGCTGACACCACCTTCATCTCCCCTTGATGCCCAGGCTCAGGTTTGGTAGGGTACCCATGGGTACCATTCCCTGTGTGATCTACCCAGGGGCCATTGCTCCTGCCTCATTCTCCTTCCTCCCTTTGGTTATTTCTGTGCAATAAACAATGAGAGACAAAGATATTCAAGCGGATACAATTATGTGAGAAGAAGCAGACCTGGGTTTAACTTGTACCCCTGACTAGCAGTGGGTCTCTGCAGGGACTCATCTTCACAGGGTTTCCTCATCTAGAAAACAGAGATAAGACTGACCCCATAGTATTGTGATGAGGATCAGACAAAAGCACACGAAGCATATAGAATAATGCCAGACACGTCAATTTACTTCAATTTCAAGCTACTGTTGTTATTGGCCACTTATTTGTAGCCCTGAGCTCTTGTCAGCTAGTTCACCTTGGCAAGACTCACCTGCCCTGAGCCTCCTGGTTTCCTCACCTGTAAAGTGGGGATAAGACTATCCAACCTGCTTTGTAGGGTCATTGTGAGGGTTGGGTGATATCTGTGGTATATAAAGCACTTAATACAGCACCTGCACACAACACAGGCTCCGCCAACTCTGCCCATTACTCTTATTCTCATCACCATGATTAGCTTCTGCCAGGGATTGAAAATTGGCTCAAACTCCCAAGAGGTTGCTTGATTTTTTTTTCCCCAGCACAACTTATGAGAGAGAAATATTTGATGCTTCCCTTTCCTAAACATAAGAACTGCCTAAGAGGCACTTGCAGCTTTTAACATTGTCAGAGGACCACCTTAGGGAAGAACCACCCAAAAATGAAGCAAGTCTGAGGCTGGCACATGAAGGAAAATAAAACCGGGCACTTCTGCTATAGCTTTAGTTTTAGAATCTTCTCCTTTCCTCAAAAAGTTAATGCTACTTACCAAACCTTAACAGGACCCTAAGTTACTTTGCCAGCTCTCAGGCATGATGGAAAGTCACATGACCTGGATTGAAGGGCTGTGTGACTATAGGTAAGTCACTTACCCTCTCTGAGCCTCAGCTTCCTCACTTAGAAAATGGAAAAAGGAATAGTGGCAACTTCATAGGATTGTGAGGAAGTGAAATGAGAAGGCATGAAAGCAGTCTGTAAAATGTTGAGCACTGTGGGAATGCTGTTATTTACTGCTAAGAGACATGATACCACCTTCAACCGCTCAGCCACAGTAAATAGAGGATCTCAGGAAGTTGGGACCTCTGCGTCCCACTCCTTTATAAGCTGGAATCTGCATTTCCACTTTAACCGTCTTTGTGTACTGCTGTCCGCTATTATAAGCCACGTCAAACCTTTTTTGGAAGCAGGCAAAGTAGAAAAAGAAACAACCAAAATGGCTCCGTGGTGAGAATTAACCTAGACCACTTCCCTGCTCCACTCAGCTGCATTTGCAAGATCTTGGCTGCGGGGTTAGACTTGCTGTCTGAGGCCTGGGAGCTCGAGCTTGTTATCTGGATGGAGGGAGCCCGTCTTCTCAGGAATGGCGTCAAACACAAGGCCAACCAGCCCTAAAGGCAACTCTCCTCCCCAACCTCACTTACCCAGCCAGGGCGACGGGGATGGGCCGAGGCGAAGTCTGCTCCCAAATACAGCACCCCGAATTCTCTGGTTTTATATCTTCAGCCTAAGAGCAAAAATCTCTATTTTTGTTTCCTGTAGAATTCTTAGAAGCAAAATGCCTTTTTGAAACTTTGCTTTTTCTACCTACCAGTTTACCAGCCACATGGAGACAAATCCAGGCAGTAATGGGGTTTAAATGAGACAGCCAGGTAGGTGAGACACTCAAGTTGTCACTGTGTTTTAAACATAGCACACACCGTGTTACACAAACACCATTCATAAGCCTGAGTCACAGGGTTCAGATGGGAGCTGGGTACATGTATAAATAGCCTGCGTGTGTCAAACAGAAGACAAGAAGGGAAGTTGGGGGAATAAGGTCAAAATCATTGTGCCCAATTGGAACGTTATAAAAATCTCAGCCTTGTCATTATTTACAACCCTAAGCACAGCTCCTACACAAAAAGGAGAGAATGGCGTGTGTAAAACTCAAAGTAAGCGAACATCCTCAGTGTTGAGCTAAACAGTACGAATGCTACAGCATCATTAAAGGAAGCTATAATTATGGCGTCTCATTCCTTTGTTGCCGAGTGCCCACAGTTCAGAGCAGCCCCGCTAGCGTTTTCTGAGCGTGGGACTATTAGGGGATCGTAGCTTTGACTGGTGCTGACCACTTGATTTGCATCCAATGACTGTGATGGCTCTGGGTGGCAACAGAAAAATCCAGTTTGTTGTGGTGAAGAACTAACGGCCTTGGACATGTAGTAAATGTTTAAAAAAAAATCTTTTTTTCCCCATGATTCCCCCCTCCTCGGCCACCCCCACATCCGTGACTTTGGACATAACTTATTACCAACATACTGGCCCCAAGCCCAGCTCCTGATGCCACTAAGCTGGGCTCTCCCAAAGCAGGGCACGAAAACAGACACCCCTGTGGGCTCAGGGCTGGTTACAGCTGAAAGCAAGGGCACACCTTCCGGATGCTCCCATTGAGGTGAAGGGCACGGCCATGGCTTGGAAGAAACACAAGAGCCTTGGGTAGCCCACGACGTCCGTCCTTGAGGGTTTCAATGGGTCCCACGGCTCAGCCTTGACTCTGGGTCTTTCTGTTCCTCGGCAGGCACCTTCCAACCTTCCACTCCCCGGCTGGGAAGTCAGTGTGAACTTGTGGAGAGTTGTTTGAGGGAGTGGATTCAAAAGGCAGCAATTCTCCAATTCTCGCTCCAGGTGGTCTAGTGTTTCGCCGCCCACGCCCACGAGCCCCCCGCTGCTCAGAAGGGATCTGCAACCCGAGTGTGGGGTATGAACGCCAAAGACTGGGATACACGGGGCAACAACATATGCACACAGTTAACGGGGCCTGCCAGCCGGCTGCCGCCGTCTGGTTCCAGTTCCCAACTCAGTGTCTGCTGGGCCTCTTTCTCACACATCCCACTCTGGTCCCTTCTCCAACCGCCAGCAGAAGTGACTTCTCAGCCTCAGGCCTCTCCCATCCCGTCTCTGATGACATGCGTGGTCTGTGAGTTAAGAGCTCACTAACGTGTAGATCATGCTAAGTGGAAAAAGAAGAGGGAAAGAAGGCATTAGAGGGAGCCCGTGGGGGACTCAGACTGGCCCTCAACAGAGGCACCTGCCGAAAGCCGGACCCCGTGTCACTCCTGTCACTTTCTCATTCCTGTCAGGACAGCATCTCATCTCTTCCCCCCACAACATAGACTACACATTTGTTCCGAGAGCATATTGTGTCCCTTAGATAAAACAAAGACGTTGATTGCTTTAAGTGCCTGTTATTATCCTCATCGGGAGGATTCTTATGGCTGTTAGTCCTCTTTCCTGCAATTGCAGGGCAGGTGTGGGGACAGGGTAAGGGGTGCTGTGATTCTTTATCCCACCAGCTACCACGTGCTTGTTACGCGTGTCCAGGGGCTCCCAGCTTCTGCTGGATGACATGTTGGAGCTGGGGAAGCGACCATCGTCACTACTGCGAGGACCGGTGTGTGAACACAGGCCCTCTGGGCACACAAACTAAATGAATTCTTAATTGGGGAACTCCCCGGCCCTCCTGTTTTTAACAGAATCAAGGCATTAAACATGCATAAGAGCATGTGTCCTGAGGTGGGGGGATTGTGCATCCTTGTGCTCTCAGAACGGACTGCAGGCTAATCTTGTGAGACCAAGGAATGTTCTGCCCCAAAAGATAGACTTGGTCAATTTGGGGAAAGAAAAGCAAGCACCTTTTTACATGGTAAAGAGGAAAAAAAGGGTAATCTAAGAAACAAAACCAAAGGAAAGAAACTGGAGTGTTTTACTTCTAACCCTGTCCTGCTTACTGGGGCAATAAGCATGTCTGAGTCGCTGACGTTCCGTTTTTGAGAACCTGTTTATTGAGCACCTCCTGCATGTCAGGCACCATCCTAGGTGCTAGGAGGCAATGGTGAGGGTACAGCCCCCATCCCCACCTTGAGGGAGCATACAGCCAGGCTGTAGCAACAACAAGGGTTTAATGAGCATCTAGTATGTGCCAGGCACTGGCCAGGGCACTCCAGGTACAGAGGTGAATTAAACAGACAAGGTCTCTACCATGAAGTAAAGCATAAGTCACATGATTACAGAGGGAGAGAAATAAACATGAGGGGAGGCAGGCATGACCCAAAGGAACTGGGCAGGAGGGTGGTGCTGCTTTAGGTGGATGATATCAGCCTACTTTACACTCTTGGTTTGAAAAGATTTTTATCTCAAGCAGGCAGACAGAGTCCACAATGGACTAACCAGCTAGTATTAGTGTTAATGTACATGTATTAATACATGAATAGTAGTATTAGTAGTATTAGTATTAGTATAGTAGTATTAGGATTAGGATTAGGATTAGAATTGGGATTAGGATTAGCTGGTCCCCATCCAGTTTAATTTGCAAACATCTCCTGGTCCATAAGGCACCCTGAGAAGGGGGTGGCGCTGGGGGCCGAGGTGATTAGTGGGAAGAACCCAAATTCTGGGACCAGATAAATTCTGCGACCAGATAAATTCTGCCAGCCAGGACCTTGGACACATTTCTTAACCCCTCTGAGGTCCTCAAGAACTCCCACCCCACCTTGACAGAGTTCCCAGCTGCTGTCACTTGAGCTTCTGTCATTTGCTCAGCTCAGATACAGCCCTCCATGCACATGGGTCCCCTTCCCTCCACAAAGAGTGGCCTGGGCCGACAGTCCCGTGCTTCCCATCAGGTCCGGATCTGAGGGCCTGGGAGCTCCTGGAGCAAGAGAAACACTGTCTTTGAGTGGCTCTGAAGAGCCCCCAAGAAGTCAGGTTCAACAGAGGAGGAGGAGCCCCGGCAGCCCACCCAGGGTCCCAGTGAGGCAGGAGGGGCAGTTGTTTCCAATTTTGTTTTGGAAACAAAGGAATTAACGAATGTCACATGACAGAGCACCAACCTGAACCAAAGGACAGACAGTCAAACAGAATGTCTGGAACACCATCAGTGACAGAATGATCACATCCATCTGACGGGTGGTGGGAGCCGCCAACACCACCCCACACCGCCCCCTCTGCCCCACAACCCAGCAGACAGAGAGCTGCTTTGCTCTGTCTGTGAATTCCTATGCTTTCTTTCCCACAATGCCTTGGGCTCAGCAGTCACGGCAACAAAATTGCCATGAGGGAGCCTGACCTGCCTCAGCCTCCATCCAAACTAAGATGGATCTCAGGCTGATGGGGCAGGAGCCAAGGAAAGCCCTTGTTCTGATGGATTTGAGGAGGAACAGGGCTGCCTCTGGGGACAGGCCACTCAGCTGTGACTCTGCAGCAGGGGCCATCTGCAGGCCCACAGAGGAAGAGGTTAAGCACACTCCAGCGAAGAAATCTAGCCTCCACGTTAGCCCAAGGAGTCAAGTCGCCAAGCCCATAAGGGCTTGCGCCACCCTCTAGGTTTCCCAAGGCAGGAGCCAGCCAGAGCAAGCTTTAGTTGCTAGAGAATTCAGACCTGGAGTCGTAGAGATTTGGGGGAACCTGCTGGCACCTCAGAAATCTCCAGGGAGGCTTCAGAGACCCTCAGGCTCCTCGCAAGCCTGAGCAGGCAATGTCCCAGGACCTCCATCCAGGAGGAGAAAGACAGAGGTCACCCAAGAGGACCAACCCTTGAATCCAAGAAGAATGTGGCAAAATAAATGAATCCTCTCCAAGGCTGAGTTATTCCAGGGGAAGCTCTACCCCTAGGGCCTCTGAATCTTTTGGACACGGGATGGAGAGGGGACAAGAGGCAGGACCACGCAGCACTCCAGGACAACAGGTCTTACCCTCAGGGGTGCTGCTGAGCCTTGAAATCCTGAATCAGAGCTAAGCCCAGGAATCCGCATTTTTAAGAAGCATTCCATACTCACCCTCTGACTATTGTGATGGGGGAGCTCCAAGGACCACATTTCCATCAAGGCTTTTCTAGAGGTTTCCTAAGACAGGCAGCAGTTAAGAGCTCAGTCTCTGGGAATAGACTTGAGATAGAGTCACAACGGTGACACTATTAGCTGTGATTGGGAAAATTGTCTAATTATCTCAGATTTTGTTACCTCATTGTTAATATACGGGCAATGAGAGCATTTAGCTCATCAACTGAGCAATACACATAAAGCTCTTAGACCAAAGCCTGGCTCGTTTTTAAATGCTGGAGAAACGCAGCCACCTCTCAGTCTGTTCCAGCCCAACACAAACCCTAAGGTGGCCCTGGAGTCACACCTGCCACCCTCCTCTTCCTCACCCGGCCACTGTCAACCAGGCCATTTGGGAGACAGTACTAGGAGACTTGAAGGTATCGTGCCCTGCCACAGGTAGCCACAAGATAGCAAGGTGACAGGGGGACACCTCAGAGATGAGTCAAAGGGGAACAGGAATGAGGAAGAGATGCTTCCAGAAACGGCGCTCTCTGAGGTATCAAACGCGAAGTTTGTTTATAGCCATCTGCTTAGCTAGGATGTTCTGAGTAAAGAGGTGAAAAAAGGGGAGATTCCTGAAACGGAGTTGCAAAGTCAGCGTTTTTTACTTAATTAGAATGTTGTTAAATAATATCGGGAGAATTTATAAGTGTAAGCATTTAGTGACCCAGTGTGCTGCTGGGGTCTCTGTCACGGTCCCCAGGAATGTGTACACACAGGCTGGGGGCCAAGGGGTGACGCGGTTGTGCGTGCGGGGCCACGGGTGACCTGACTCGCTGAACTGAGCAGCTGCTAGAGGCAGGAAGCCCCGGGGGCAGCAGCCCTGCTCTTCACCAGGAAGCGCGTAAGAGCTGTCACCAGGACGTGCTTTCCCTGTGTGGCCCTACGGATGTGGCCGTCAGGAGAAGGACTCCTGCACCACCTTCGGCCTTCTCACTGCTTCACGCTGAAGCCCTTGCTCCTGAAACCGAGCCTGACAGAAGGCATCATAGCCAGTGGACCACGACGCCCACCCTTACAGGTCACCTCCCGAAGGCCAGGAGGCCAGCCTGAAATCTGTCCATCCGTCCCCTGCAGGAGTCACCCGCCCCCGCCAGAAGGGGCGCAGACTCACCAGTACAGGTAGTAGAAGAAGGAGAGGAGGTAGAAAGCCAGCTTACACCAGGCCTCCTTCTGACAGTAACTCAAGGTGTCTGCGTTCATGACCACTGGCGGGTCATAGGCCAGCTCAGAACTGTCTGCCGGGCAGTGGAAGTACCTGCAGGGAAAGAGGACATGGCGTCACTAGCTCTGAGGCTTGGGAGGGACATTGACGTCATCTGGGCCAAGCTCTCCTGAGGGCGGGCTGGCCTCTGAGGAAGCTCTGCTAAGCAGTCCTCTGCCTTCTGCCCAAGTCACAGCCCGGGCATGGCTAACGCGGCTCAGCCCCTACCTTCTGGCAGGTAGGAACCCCCCAAATGCTCAGATCCACTGGCATCACGGTGGTTTCAATCACATACAGAGCTGATCTACCAGGAGAAAAACATGTCGCCTGGTGACAGCTGGCGGACCCAGGAAGAGCGTCCTTTCTCCAGGGGTATCCGAGTGGGCATCAGAACAGGTACAGGTGTGGGGGGATTTGGAGCTGCGTCCCTACTGCCTCAATGCCACTGTCCCACTAATGACTTCAGATTAAATACTGTTCTGTACCGAGGCCCTCTTTTAAAATCCTGACTATTCTGGGAGGAACATTGTATTCCCACTCGAGGGCGCAGTAGTTTACAGGTACTTTCCTTCTGACAGAAAGACCCAGAACAGCGAAAAGAACAGTGGCCATCATGGGGAGAGAACAGCCACAGAGGGAACTGGGTGAGCAAAGGAACAGTGGGTGAAACAGAGGGAGCAGGGGAGCAAACTGCTTCAAAATGTCACATTGGCTCAACGTGAACTGGCCTCGTTCACAGGAGGCGGGCACCTGTCGGGCTGGGGCGCACCAGGCAGGGGGCCCTTCGGAAGGGTCAGGCAGGAGGCCAGCGCTGCCCTTGGGACTGTCCTCTGGCCCTCCACGGGACACTGTCCCCAGGGCCTCAGCCAAAGCCTCACTGGGAGGAGGAAAGTGCGGCTGAGATGGCTGAGCGGGCGGCTTTTTGTCAATCTGGAAAGGAATCAGGGGGCCGGGGCAAATGAAGTGCTCCTGTGAGGCCCTAGGACAGGCTGTGGCTCGTGACTGTGACCAGCAGAGTGGGCTCTGACCGAATTAATCAAACTGGCTTTGAAGAACATCCCTGGAACAGAGCAACTCACAGAGCTGGCATTTCACTTCTCTCTTCCTTCCTCTTCACAGGATTGCACTGGCAGGATTTGTCATCGGCTCTCTGCTAAGAGGGAATCACAAGCCACGTCCGATGGTAGCCGCCAGCTCATAGCCCTGCAGGCCACTCGCTTCTCCTCTTCCCAGGAGCAGATTTCAAAACCTATTTGCTTTAGTTGTGGCCTTGTTCCCAGGTGACCTCATTAAATGGAGGCACGGGTGGCAGGGTGGCCAAGTGGCTCTGTGGAAAAAGCCAGGGTTCTGCCATTCACTGGTCCCCAGACTGACCTTCCTTGAGCCAGTCGTTAGCCTCTCTGAGCCTCAACGTTCTCATCTGTAAAACGGGGATGAAACTGCCTACTCTGAGGGGCTATTGTGACGATTATGTCAGGTGGCCGATGCAAATAATCTGCAAAGAACAAGTACGGAATAAAAGCTCTACGGTGCTACTTTTATCTACACAAACTAAGAGCTGGAGCAGAAGGGGACTTTATCTGCATGAGCAACAGCTGGAGTGGACCTGCTGGAAGGGCGGGGACAGCGGAAATGAAAAAAGGAGGGTGTTCAAGGACTCTCCTTTTTAAAGGACCCTTCCCTCCGCATTCCTTTTTCTTTCATTTTCTGGGCACTTATGAATTGCCAGGACGATGCTAAACCCTGTCAGAGATTCAAAAAACAGTAAAACAAGGTCCCTCCTGGCAAGGAGACTGCAGTCGCTCTCCTCTTATACAAACGAAACATTCCAAGTGTAAGGACCCTGACTGTCTCTCCTTTCCCTCCCCTTTGGAGGGGTGATAACCCTGAGAAGCAGCGCACAAATCAAAGTTTCGTAAATTAACCACGTTTGACACATTGGAACGACAGCACGCTACTCCAAGGACCTTGGGATAAATTCCTTTTATTGTGAGAAGAGCCAGCCTCCTGGGGCAGCGTGCCAGGTGACAAGAACACAGACTGCGATGCATACAAAGGTGAGGCTGAACCCTGGCCCTGCCGTGTCCAAGCTGAGCAACTCTGGGAAGTCACAACCTTTGTGAGTTGCTGCGTCTCCACGTGTAAAACCAAGAAAAGGAACCCCAACGGAGCTGGTTGTTATGGATACCGGATGAGGGAAGGCGTGGAAAGTCCCTGAGTGGGTATGCAATACATTTCAACACCATACTGTTTCTGTTTGACTTCTCTCTAAATTCAGATTTTAGATTACCTGTACTTAAAGCAGGGCTTTCTTATGTAACCGAAGCATTTTTCCTTCCTGCCTAAATCTGCAATTTCTTCTCCCCTTCTGTTCTTGGTCAAAGGCACGGTCACCCATCCTGCCACCCAGCTTACAGGCCCCCTTTTCCTTACCTCCTGCACCCAATTACTGGCCAAGGCCTGTCCAGTTTACCTCCATGGGTCTTCTCCTTCTCTCTCCATTCCAACTCATATTACCCAGTTCAAGCCTCCGTTATCTCTTCACCTGGCATTTTCATCATAACCTCCTGACTGGATTTTGTCCTCGAAATTTCATTCTCTAACCTGCGCACTGCTGCCAGGGTCCACCTTCCTAAAAATCAGATCGGGTAATGCCATTTTCCTTCTCAAAAGCTTCCAAGGGTCGTCCATTCCCTACAGGATAAATTAATTCCAACTTCCCCATCAAATCATTTCAGACCCCCCATACCTGATCCCAACTGTCTTGTCAACCCATCTCTGCTTTCTTGCCTCCAAGAACCCTACATCCGGCCACACTGAACAAATGCTGTCACCAAATACACCAAGTGCTCCCTGACCTCTGAGCCTTCGCCTATGCTGGTCCCTCGAGCTGAGATGTGCTTTTTCAGACTTCCCAGAGTCACTCTTCCAGTCTAATGTAAACACTCATTTTTCTACACTCCTGCATATAGTCCACATATATCTGTTAATAATATATTTCCCTCTGCCTCGAGGGTGTATATTCCCTGAGGGTAGAGATTATATTTTACAATCATCTTGTTCGCCCCCACAATGTCTGCCATGCGGTGTGTGTTCCATACGTCTGCTAAATGAAAGAGTGAATGCTCTCGACATGACTAAATACAGACTATATTTTTGGTAAAATGACAATGGTGAGATGTTTTGGGGGTACCAAAGCTCAGGGAGCAAGGGGTAAAATAAAGGCAGTTAATTTACCTGCACAGATGCACTCCTTACTACTTCAAATCCCGCCCCCCACCCCCTGCTCCTATGTCCATATGGTGACTGTATTTTACAAAAAGCCCATATCACATGATCTGATGCATGGTCTCAGCAGGGAACAGAATATTTAAAATCAGAACTATCCCAGAAAACCTAGCCCATATGGTAGGTGCTTTTTTTGTTAAGATATAATTCACATACCAAAAAAAAATCACCTTTTTAAAGTATACCATTCAGTGGGTTTTAGCATATTCATAGAGTTGTACAACCATCACCAATATCTACTTTCCAGAGACTTGAATCACTCTAAAAAGAAAACCTCATCCCATCAGCAGCCACTCCCCTTTCTCCCTCCCTTCCAATCCCTGGCAACCACCAGTTTACTTGCTGTCTCTACAGATTTGAATGTTCTGGACGTTTCACATAAATGGCCTTTTGCGGCTGCCTTCTTTCACTTGTCATTTTTTCAAGGTTCATCCACATTGTGGCCGGATCAGTACTCCGTTGCTTTTTGTGACAAATAATTTTCTATTGTGAGATAATTCAAAATTATCATGTTGTTGATCCATTCATCTGTTGATAAACATTTGGGTTGTTTCTATTTTTTTGGCTATTGCGAATAGAGCTGTAGCTGCTTTGAACACTGACCTGCAAGGGTGGAGGCTGTGCTTAGCGGAGCCTATAACGGGGCCTTCCCTTGCGGGACTCACCGTCTGAGAGCAGCTCGGGAAGAAGGCTTGGGAGACAGAGTCTCCAAAAGGAAGGGATGAGGTGGCTGGGCAATCTGGGGAACATGGTCTCGGAGGGCAGGCAGCCCAAGCAGAAAAGGGGACCAGTCGCAGGCTGACTTACCTCCAGATGTGGTAGAAAAGCAGAGGGACGTTCAGCCCCAGGGTGAGCCACTCCTGAGCGCACAGGAACATGATGCAGAAGAGGCTGTGGATGGAGTATTCCGGCAGCACCAGCTGAAGAGGGAGCAGAGACACAGGCCCGCGTTACAGGGGGGAACAGTCACGCCCGCCTCAACAGCAGCTGGCTTCTGATCTGCCCAGATACGGCCTCCAACACGCCGGTGACACAAAGGCCCTCCCTGCTGCAGCAGAGTCACCGCCCCAACACTGTGACCCATTTCTGGTAAGTTCCCCTCTTTATGGTCCTGGGGCCATGCTTCATACTGGCCCAAAATGGACACAGGCCCTCAGCACCCTACATACCAGAATAGGGCACCTGTTTCTGGCAGTCACCCATGGAGGTCCACTGAGATGGCTAGAAGAGGCCATCCAGTCCCTGTCACGTCTGACCGGAGGCAGGACCCACTAGGACAAATACTGATAGGGTTTCTAGTGATTCTATAGCTACCCTGCTCCTGTTTTTCTAGTCCATGTGTATCCCCCTATAGAAACTCACAAACCTGAAGCAAATATGTGTATTTATGTCAAACACAGGAGGGTTGGGGGGGGGGGAATTGAGCATTTGGCTTGACGGTGAGGGACCAAGAGGAACCCAAGAGAAAGGACATGTCGTGATGAGAAAAGAGGAAAAGCTTAGCCTCTGGAGGAAAGGCGAAGAAGCCAGCTTGGACCAGGAAGGGTCGTGTGGTGGAAAGTGACCAGCAGGAAGGCCAAGTGCCTGCACCCCTGATCCACCCATACAGGTGTAAAAAGAGCTTAAAATGATTGTGAGCTCCCTCCCAAGGGTGTTTACATCTCAACAGAAATCACAGTTGTAACAAAAATCAAAGTGACTACAAAGGAGACATGTGGTCTCTAGGGTAGCAGTCAGGAAACCCCAGGATAGAGATGCAAATGCGCCATCTTTCCCAATCATATATGAGCGTGTGTGTGTGTGTGTGTGTGTGCGCGCGCGCGCGGGGTGGGGGGCGGTTGGGGGGCGTTGGGGAGAATCCATCATTTTCTCATTTCCATTTGCAGAGTGTCTTTTGCACTTAGCTGAGGCTTAACAAGTATTTGAGAAAACTAATTGAGCCGACTAAGTGCGGATGTTTTGCAGCCTGGCCGGCTGGCATCAGAGATGTAGCCTGTGGTACGGAACCAATGTAGGTACGGAACATGACTGGTCTCATTCATCTCTCACTTTAGTCAGATGAGCTAACTGCCCAGATGGCAAATACGGGGCGGGGGTGGGGGCGGGGTGGGGTGTGAAACATGCATCAAAAATAAATTCATGCAAAGGCACAGGTGTAAGAAGTGCATTTTGGAACTAAGTGGCATCTTTTTTATTCTCGAGTCCAGGGAAGAGTGGGTTGCATAGACCCGCATCTTAGAATCCTCACACAGTAACCCTGGAATCAACGTAAAAGAGTCATCACTCCAGCGGCCCGTGACCTCACAGCCAGCCCCTATGAGCCCCAGCCACCTGGTGGGAGGGGTGTGTCCCTATCATCTTCCTCGCAGGACTGGGCAGCCATCCTTGCCAACCCCATCTGCGCCTGGCCAAGGCACCACCCTACCTCCTCCTGCTGGAAGAGAAAGCCCACGTTCTCAGAGCTGGGCATGGCAGCCCTAGGAGGCGGCAGCTGTGACTCCTGCTATGCACATCTTTCCCGTGTTTTTAATCATCCGTTTCAGCCACTTGTGCTGAGATAATTAACATGGTTAGAGACAGGCACCCTAGGCCTGACTCATCTGTGATAGCGCCAGCCCAATCTCCAGCTCCATGACGAATCTCTGACTGATTACAGCCTGGATTTCAGGTCCCACTATTAATCACCACTGCTTCTCCCCTCGTTGGGACGTGATTTATGGTGGAAGCCGCCACCTCCCGAGCAGGGTGAATTTGTCACTGTCATCACGTGGAGGAAAACTGCTTAACGGAGACCAGCTGGTTCTGGGGGTCCCCAGCATGTTGGGGGTCTGAGGGAAAGCTGGAGAACTCATCCAGCTTTTCTGGGTAGCGTCTCCTGATTGCCTCCGCACGGAACAGGATCCTTACAAGTGGGAGTGGCTCCTCCAATTCATCCGGGGAGACTTTGGGGAGCGATGGTGCCCTTTTAACACTCACACTGGTTCTCTCGTACGTCCCCAAGCTGTCCCTGCCACGGTGCTGTGGAGGCGGTAAAGAAGCCGTTCCTCCCAGACCAGACGAAAATCAGCCAGTCCGTGTGCACCAGGCCTGCTGCCCACCACACGCTTCCACGGCTCTGCCTTTGGGAACACAGAAAGGCCGCATTTCTGCTCCCAGTCCTGCTGTGGGAGGAGAAAGGGTGTGCAGAGAAGGCTGGGGCAGGTACTAACCAAGTGCCCAGAGTCTCCTTGTCTTCCGTCTGACAGAGCAAACAGCACTTAGGGTGGTGGGTGCTCCATCGTCCTGAAACCATAAGTGAGGAGAGAGGCCCCAGGGCAACCGGCGACGGACACAGACTCTGAGCGAGCAAGAAATGTAGGTTATTTTAAGCCACTGAGAGCTGGGAGTTTTTTTCTTTCCATAGCATAATTTAACCTATCTTGTCAGATACAGAATGACTAATCAATGGGAAAAGGAGAATCGTGCTCATCTCTTTCTCCTTCCCTGACCAACTTTCTGCATCCAGACCTTCCTTCCGCAAGCGCTAGACAGACTTAGGCAGGGGCTGAATGACCACCAGACGGGCATCATTCTTATTCACCTGTGCACACAGCTGGGCTACATGTCCCCTCCCAACCCTGGGCCTCTCTGTTATATCAACACCACCCTGGAATCACCAGGCAAACCACAGGAACACTGCGTGAATACCCCCATGACCGCGAGTCATCCTTTAGCACTGGAAAACACTGGGGGGTTTTTTGGTAAGAGAAGCACTGAATGGTGCCAATCTCATTCTTTCATACCACAAACAGAGGAAGTGTTTCACGCAGGCCACAGTCTATTAAATTCCCACGTCTAATTATGCCCTGCTTTATAGAGATACAAATATTAAATAAGTGGTCTCAAGATAGGTATTGTGAGATTGTTGACAAGACTGCAATTCGTTCCAACCAGGGAGGCTCACAATAGTTCTGCCATCAAGGTAGAGCCAAGGAAAGTTGGAAAGGATGAGTAAAACCTGATCACGCGAGGGAGCCAGAGGTCAGCATTCCAGGAAGAGAAATCATGAGCGCAAAAGCAGAGACAGAGGACAGTCACTGCCTGGGCTGGTCCTGCACCAGCCCACCTAAAAGGGCCACTTATTCACCGCTGAATGGCATTAAAGCCAGGCCTGACATGAGCCAAGGGCTGGGTAAACGTTAGTTTTATTCCCCAGCCTTCGCAGTTCCTGGTGCTGGAGCTATGTGACACCAACATAAACTGAAGGGTGGGGACCTGTCGCAAGAGTGCAATGACAACACACCCTCTTCTCGCTATCCCCCTGTTCTGATGCATGGCAGAGGTCAAAGGTCAGGTGACCCTGTCAGCGCGCACTAGCCACGCTCATCCACTTGGTCGCGAAGATCCAAACGACGTCACCCACTGACCAGCGCCTTCCATCACTTCGAAGAGGATGGACGTGGCCTCAGGTGAGGACCACCTGTCCTGACTTCCTATCCCGATTCCTGACCTCGAGTTCCATTTCCTGGCCGACATCTCCATCTGGGTATTCCACTGCGCGATGAAGACTCACGCTCCTTCCGGGACCTGCAAACTTGATCTCCCGAATTTCCAATGTCTGCTAACAATGGCCATCTTTGGCTCCTTGGGCTCACCCATGTCCACATGAGCCCGTTCCCAAATCTTCCCAATTCTTCACAGCCACTTGCATTCGTTCCTCCCTTTTTATTTCTGCTGCCCCCTACTGGCCCCTGCCCCTCCTCCCAAGGCTGATCCAAGAACCTTCCAGCAGCTTTCTGCTCCTGTACCCAAGATCTCTGCATCCAACAGGGCAGCCACCTCCTTGCTGCTGTATACGCCACACTCAGCTCAGCTTTAAGCCTTCATCCACAACCTTGTTTTGCCAGGAATTTAATTTATTTGTGTTCAAAATATTTTATTTCTATGTATGCATCTTCTTTCTCATTCATGTATCTATTCATTCACTGCTTTAGCCCACGAGTGATTTTATTTCACTGCTGTGGTGGAGAGAGGCATCAGCAGCCAAGGGGCGAGCTCTCCTAACCCCCAAAATAAAAGGAAATAGAGGGGGGATGCTTGGAGTTGAGGCAACAGAATGAAGCTTCCTGGGGGAGAAAGAGGAGTCCTCAGACCAGGGGACGGGGAGGAAGGCAGAGATGAGAGGTGACGGCAAGCGCCCCCATGCTGGAGACCTGCTCCTGGCTCCCACCGTGCATCCCAGCGGACAGGTTCTGAGGGCTGCTATAAGCATGCGTGGGACCAGACACACTAAGCACCAAGCCACCGAAGCCACGGGGAAGTCCTGGGGCTGAGTGGAGCTTGAAGGGAGTGGCAGCTGTGAGACCCAAAGTCTCCACCCACTTCTGAAGGGAGCCTGTTGACGCAAACAAGCTTTTCTGCTGGGATCATGTTGGGTTTTTCACCCAATGTTTTTAATCTTCGCCCACTATCTCAAAGTGTTACATAAATTCTTACCAGTTATATATGATCAACTGTGTGATATCGAGGAAAGCAGCTAGGCACGCTGGGCTGTATTCTCCTCATCTGCAAATGCTAACATGTGCACCCTCCCTACAAGGCTGCTGGGAGGGGCACAGGATGTCCTAAGATGACTGCTCTGGAAGGTGAAGAAGCACGAACAAAGGAAGGCCCGCTGTGATGAACGCACCGTTATCATTAACAATCAATCACATGCCAGCTAATGACCATTCTCAGGCAGGTAACTGGAAAGGTAGTGAAAGGGCCCAGAACCAAATTGGGTTTCCCCATTCTCCAGCTAGTTTCCTCTCACCCCCGTCCGATTAAATCAAGCTTCCACCTTCCCCAAGTGGGAAGAGACACCACAGGCTGTTTAATAGCCTGCCTCTCAAACCATCAAACCCCAGTCCTTGCCTGATTTCAGCCCCACTAGTCCAGTTCC